CCCCCCAACACCCCCCAACATCCCCCAACACCCCCCAACACCCCCCAACACCCCCAACACCCCCCAACACCCCCAACACCCCCAACACCTCCCCAACACCCCCAACACATCCCCAACACCCCCAACACCCCCCAACACCCCCAACACCTCCCCAACACCCCCCAACACCCCCAACACCCCCAACACCGCCCCAACACCACCAACACCCCCCACACCCCAACACCCCCCAACACCCCCCAACACCCCCAACACCCCCCAACACCCCCAACACCCCCAACACCCCCCAACACCCCCAACACCCCCAAGGCTTATAAACAAACATCGAATCAAATATGCAATATTGTTCGTGCCGGAGTAGACTGCACTATCCTGTATTTAAAATTAATACTTGACTGAGATCAATCTTGAAACATTTCGAACAAAAGCGGGATGGAGAAGGTTTGGCAACAACGTTAAAGATGCCTAGTAAACATACCATTAATGCAGTTAGAATAAGTACAATTCTAGAACGTTAAGTTTGTTGAGCGATATCCGCTCCCCAAAATACACACACACACACGCACACACACACACACACACACACAAGGGGCTGGGTGGCTGAGTAAGGGGGCTGGGTGGTTGAGTGGACAGCGCTCTAGACTCGCGGACCTAGGGACCGGGGTTCGATCCCCGCACCTGGCGGAGACAGATGGGCAAAGTTTCCTTAACCCTGATGCTCCTGTTACCTAGCAGTAAATAGGTACCTGGGAGTTAGACAGCTGCTACGGGCTACTTCCTGCGTGCGTGTGTGTGTGTGTGTGTGGAGAAAAAAAATAGTAGTTAGTAACAGTTGATAATTGATTGACAGTTGAGAGACGGGCCGAAAGAGCAGAGCACAACTAGGTGAATACAACTATGTGAAAAACACACCATCAAGCAGCGAGGCAAACGACCAGCTGACTTGATGTAAACAAAAGTGTCCAGACAAGGGACCAACACCCACCTCTCGTTATTATTATTAACATCTTTACTGACAAAATTTAATTACAATTTGGCCTTACCTGCGACTCCTGGTTTAACCTTGACGACGAGCGGACGTCTGGACACCACCTGGGAGCCGCCGGATCACGTTCTGTTTCGCGATTTTGGATGTGATGCTGCCGTTTGGCGTCCCTATTCACCGGTCCGGATTGTTACGACGCCTGGCGCATATATCGTCTTGGGGTCACGGGATTGTTGATAGATTTTGAACGTTTTCTGGCTGGTTCTCCGGGCGGGGTGAGGATGTCCGGCGGCGGCTTGGCCGAGAGGTGCCGGGAGTTGGTGGGTCTTGGTGGGCTCCTGGTGTGCCCTCAGACGTATGAGATGAATAAAAATATTACAATATTCTCATCCAAGTCATTGGGTGAGAATTGGATGAGAGCTTTACTGTTCACCTTGGATGAATAGTAAATAGATGAGAATTTTCATCCAAGTCATTGGGTGAGAATATCATCATCAAATTTGCAGATGATAGACCACTGAACCACACAGAACCATTATAGTGTTGAGAAAAAAATATCTCACTGAGAAATGACAAGATTTCAGTTGGAGCCTTGCAGTACCTTCACCATTGTGAGCTGGGATAGGATTATTGTATCCAAGCATGGAGAACTCATCTTCAGAAAGAAATAGCTTCTTTAGAGAAAGTTCAACACCGGATAACACAAATAATTTCATAATGACCAAATTTCATTAGAAAATGAAGCGACGACGTTTCGGTTCTTCCTGGACCATTATCAGGTTGGAATGTCAGCACTGTGGAGACATGCCCGACAGACCACTGGAACATTATCTAACACAGAGCACAGTTACAAACCCAATAAGAGTTCAACTAAGATTCTACAGAGCAGAAGTTGTTAAACACCTGAGGCATAATGTTACTGAAGGGAACATAAGTGTCATAAATACTCATACTCCGCGTAAGTAAAACAGAAACAAGAAACAAGTCACAATGGGTCAGCCATAGGCTTACAGCCTGCGCAGAAATATCCCTGTAAAAAAAAAAGAAAAATGATCAAGTCGTGTGAGAGAAGAGTGGAAGAGACAGTTATTCTTCAGGCACGTTATTGTGACTCATCATCTGCATCATTCCATAACTAAGTCAGTTCTCATACCAGGAACGGTCGAGGGCCGCAGGACTGACAACACTGCAAACCAGACATGACAGGGCTGATCTCTTGGAAACTTAAAAGACTGAACAATTTGAAGGATGTTGATCCAGACAGCTTCTTCAAAAGGTCAGCGGTAACACATGAAGCAACGGTTTCAAGCTCAACAAGCCACAATGTAGAACTGAAAACAGGAGATGCTTTTCACACACAGGGTTATAAACCCATGGAACCGCCTACCCACCGAAGCCGTTAATGTCTAAACTCTACAGAACCTTAAATTCCAGCATGAAAACAGCATCAGGACAAATGAGGAATACATAGGACAAGCCGCCGGCTTCCAGTCCTCGTCAAGGCCACTAGAGTGCTAGTTGCTCTCAGGTAAATTCAGATACTTTGGGTAATTGATATATAGTAGTTACTATAATGACACGTTCCGTTTGAGGATATAAGAAGCGCATAAGAGTTAGTAGTGCAAAGACGAACATTAGTGTAAAAAAAGAACTTTAGTGTAAAGGTAGTTAGAGGAAGACATACAAGATAATTCAATAAACAATTACAGAGGCAAATATAGAGAGCTTTGGATCACTGCCTTAGACAACCAGCTTCTATAGCTGAGCCCCCAGAGCTAACACTTTACCTTACAAATACATGTAGGTGGTAACATACACGCACACTCTGGGACTCACAAATGAAGCCATGGTGCTGAAAATGTGATCCATGAACTGCCACTTTTGCGCTGTTCCGTTGCCTGACTGGCCTCTTTATGACGTTATATTTGCTCCAAGCCAGTACTGAATCAGTCAGTGTGTAGTGAATATTCGTACTGATTGTTCTTGTTAGTAAGATAAAGCGTATACTAATAATGTGGTTTTGTTAAATGTAATTATTATGTCTTATACTGGATGTTTTCGGAAGTTAAGTTGTACCATTATTCTCTCTCTCTCTCTCTCTCTCTCTAGTGCTCTATTATTCGAGTATTTGTCACGGTTTGGCAAATAAAATAAATCGTTAGATATCACATTTAATTGTCATATTTACACATAAGAATTAGCTCACAAAGTTGGCTAAAAGAAATCAGTCTTTGACACCTATGGATATGAGGGTTGGTATGAGGGCTGGTACTGGGGCTTGAAGGTGACAGCTGGACCGTACTGGTGTGGGTACTGGGCCTCGCCCTTGTAGCTCACCTGGGCCTGGTACCCGTTGTAGTGGTCAGCCACGTAGTTCACCTGGTGGAACAGAGAACAGAAAGTTACAATTATGTCCAGTTATGATAATTTATGATGTATGTTATTTTACAATTTGGTTAAAGTTAAACATATTAATACAACTTACTGTTTGTATGCGGCCGTCAGGGAGAGCAACATTGTATGAGCCCTTCGCCGTGGACCCGTCGGAGTTCTCGTTGTGGCCGAAGTCAGTGCCAGCGTAGTCGTCCTTGACACCGTAGGCGTAGTTGTATGGGATGGGTTCCTGCAAGCATCCATGATACAGAAACTTACGAAATAGAACAGTAAACAAAGGACATAAATAGGATAAGCTTAGATTTAGGAAAGACCTGGGTATATACTGGTTTGAAAACAGTTTTGTGTATTTATGGAACAATTACCGGGAAACATAATAGACGTGGGATCCCTTGATTGTTTCAAGCGTAGGTTAGACATATATATGAACAAGTTTGGATGGATGTAAATAGAAGCTGCGACACTTTTGGGCCAATAGGCCTGCAGGTTCCTTAGTTCTCACGTTGTTAATTTTAATTATATTGATAATAATTTTCATATAAATGACGTTATTATATGGTATTTTATAACTTGAAAGATGTTGACGTAACTTACCGACTTATAAACTGGCTGGCCGTATGGGTCTGTAGGGAGGCCCAGAGCCAGGCTTGCGGTCACCGCCACCACCAGGGCTGCCACCTGTTGAAAGGTAAATGTGTAACATTAACCTGTTCTTACACTTACTGCGCACCGCAACTTTGACGCTACCGACCACAGCGTCAAAATTACCATGCTTTTATGAATTTATAATCCCCGTAATATTAACGTTTAATCTGACTAGTTAGCAAATTGCGCGTTTCGAACGCTGGTTTAAATACGTTATTGTGTGTAATATAGAGACGTGCCTCATTAAGCACTTTGGCTTATATATTAAGGCACTTATTTTAAGTTGATAAGTTAAATGATAAGTAATTTTACATAAATAATTTTCGTAATTTCTCTCATTTGACAATCCAAGCCTGTATTTAGGCCTATTGAGTCCCCCCCTAAGGCCATCTACTGACCTGTAAATAGATGCAACCCACAACAGTTACTTAACTCTCGGGTGCCTGTTTCACAGCTAGATGAACAAAGGCATCAGAAGAAATGACACGTTACCCAACCGTTTCTAGGATTGAAGCCAGGGTTCCTTGGTTGCGAACCGAGGACGTAGCCCACTGAACCACACAGAACCATTATGGTTATCTTGAGATGATTTCGGGGCTTTTTAGTGTCCCCGCGGCCCGGTCCTCGACCAGGCCTCCACCCCCAGGAAGCAGCCCGTGACAGCTGACTAACTCCCAGGTACCTATTTACTGCTAGGTAACAGGGGCATTCAGGGGTGAAAGAAACTTTTGCCCAATGTTTCTCGCCGGCGCCTGGGATCGAACCCAGGACCACAGGATCAAGTCCAGCGTGCTGTCCGCTCGGCCGACCGGCTCCCCGGTGTTGAGAAAAAAAAATATCACACTGAGAAATGACAAGATTTCAGTTTGAGCCTTGCAGTACCTTCATCATTGTGAGCTGGTGTGCGTGTGTGGGAGGTGAGAAGATGGTTGAGAGAGTGGTAACGGAGATGGTAGGCGCTTCCCTTATATAGCGCAGTCTGGCTATCACCATCCCCCTCTCCTGCTGGTGAAAGGGACCTCCCTTGGCGTATGTACCCCATCTTCGTCACCGCTATACTCGTTTACACATACCTTGCCTAACCCAACCATGCCTGGGTTGATCCAGACAGCTTCTTCTGCCCTGACCTGAATCTAAACTGGACTAACCTAACCTGACCTATCCTATCCTAAACTAAGCTAATTGATCCTAATCTGATCTACCGCAGTTTAACTCGACCTGTCCTAACCTAACTCATCCTATGCTATCCTTACATAACCTGACCTATCCTACCTAATCCTGACCTATCCTAACTAAACCTGACTTGACCTATCCTAACCTAACTTATCATATTCCATCCTACCCTATCCTAACCTGTTCTAGTCATCCTAACCTTACGTGACCTATCCTAACCTAACTTATCCCATTCCATCCTGAACTATCCTATCTTAACCTGATCTATCCTAATCTTACCTAATCTTACCTAATATTACCTGACCTGACCTATTCTAACTAAACCTGACCTTTCCTAACCTAGTTTACCTAATTCTATCCTGACGTATCGTAACCAAACCTGACCTGACTTGACTGGACTTAACGTAGCACACTAACCTCACTTAACTCAACCTAACCCAACCTATCCTGACCTCGCATCACCTGACCTAACCAACCTGAACTGACCTAACCCAACCTGAACTGACCTAACCCAACCTGAACTGACCTAACCCAACTTGAACTGACCTAACCCAACCTGAACTGACCTAACCCAACCTGAACTGACCTAACCCAACCTGAACTGACCTAACCCAACCTGAACTGACCTAACCCAACCTGAACTGACCTAACCCAACCTGAACTGACCTAACCCAACCTGAACTGACCTAACCCAACCTGAACTGACCTAACCCAACCTGAACTGACCTAACCCAACCTGAACTGACCTAACCTAACCTGACCTGACCTGACCGCTGCCAATCAAGCGAGAATAAGAGATACAGTGCATTGTATTTATTACACAAGGTGTGCCGGAGGTGTGTGCCGTCAGTCAACTCATATGGTTCAACCCGCCAGAGTTTTATTTTATTTTATTAGTATTATTTTCTACCACAGACGTGGCCACACATTTACAATGCTAACCAGCATATATGCATTTTCTTCTGTCCTCCATGGACAGGGTGAGAGATTTGTTAAACATATAGTTCAGGGATTTATTGATCAACCACAGGTGATTGTAGTGATTTTAAAAGGCTAATATTATCTACAGACATAAATACATAGATACACAGAGTTATGTACGTCTGCCCTACATAAAGTGGTCGATGTGTCTTTTACATAGTGTCCTTAATGTGCATTTACAGAGGTGAAATGTAATTCTGATCAGCTTCCACATATACTTTATACACATACATTCATATACATATATATCTGCCAGAGGTGTTAGGCCCTACATACTGGAGTGGACTGGCCACCCTTCACGAGCTCACCCCAGAGGCTTTCAGCGATTTAAATTGCTTAAATGTGATAGTAACAATGATGTATTAGAGGTGGGTGATCAAGCAGCCTAATTTGTTTTCTATTACCACACCCGTAAAAAAATGTAACTGATTTATCTAACCAGAAACGTACGAACCCAAGCAACCCACCTAGCCTATCGAAGCCAATGCATAGAAAACGTCAGTATTACGATGCTTTGAATATTTTCTCTAAGACAAAGGTATTTAACGAACTAGTCGATTCCGTACCAAAATGCGACTTATTAGAAGAGCGGACGAGATATGTCAACACATCTGTACACTCACTATCTAATTAGTCTTGTAAGCAAAGGTGTGCACAGGTGAGTGTTGTGGACCCGGAAGCCTCGACACTCGTTGTGTAATTGTCGTCTTGCTGAGAGTGCTTCAGAGAGTGCCTCAACCACAAATTACCTGAGAGTGCTCGCTGCTCTGATGGAGAGTACAATGGTGCTGTAATGTGGCAGTTGTGGGAGCTCTGATGGAGAGTACAATGATGCTATAATGTAAGTTCTGTGAGCTCTGGCGGAGGTTATAATGATGCTGTAATGAAACAGATTTTTCAGCTCTAGTGGGCGGTACAATGACGCTATAATGTAACGATTATAAGAGCTCTGTTAGAACTGACGATTCCAACTTTGTATTGCTTACCGTTAAACATCATTTGGGAAGGAACTTGTATTAAATAATTCAGAAAAAACATATTAGTTCATAACAAACTGCAATTAGAGTTTTTTTTCTAGTATTGGCCATATACTCACGTGGAGTATACATCTAGTGGGTTCAGGAAGCTGTTGTTCTCCACAAGCCCGACCTAGAGCTAGGCTTGACTAGTGATAACAGTCCAACAGACAGCAGCCCACATTTTTTTATTTTGTATTAATACATGAGGTACATCTGCATTAGTGCAGCTACCCTAGACTATATGAAGTGGAGTACAGTGTGTCAAAAAAGCTAACTAGGTGATGCTAAAAAATCCCCATCACACAGGATGATTAGTCATACAGAGGCATGTGATAAGCAGTCTGCACTGGCAGACTCCGGATGCATTTTGAGGATATCATCAACACAAGATTGAATATGGTAGCAGTGGTAATAAAAGTCCCCATCTCGCAGGATGGTTAGTCATACAGGGCCATATGTTTAGTAGCCTGCACTGGCAAATTTTGGGTACACTGTGAGGATATCTTCAAGAATACGAGAGTGAATAAAGTAATTGCAAAGTTCCAGGTACCTCATGCTAACTGGTCTGAAAGGTCTAATAACTGGGCATTCAGTGATGTAGTGCAGGAGATCGTACAAGTAGGGAGTTTAGTGTGTTCTTAGTTTATTGGTTAGGACAAATATTTGTTGAACTTCGTGACTTGAAAAGTAATTATGTTGCATTGTGTTTCTTTTCCTTAAATAGCAAATTTCCTATAATTTTTTAATTAATTACTATCCTTGGTAAATCAATACCCGTATACTTAGGTTAAAATATATTAATAATAAGCATGCATATACATATTTATGATTTGTTTAGAGTAGGGTTACACTCCAGCCGAGCCGGTTGGATCGTTTCAAGCGTAGATTGAACACCATGAGTGGGTATGGTTGGGTCTAGACATGCTTGGGTTCCAGACACCCGCAGGCAGCCTTGTCTCACCTATCACACATTTTTCCCCCAACAGAGGAGTACTGGAAACGCTACCTTTGTGTCTTGATAGCAGGCTTAGGGTGTTCTCTTCACACGGATCATCTTAAGCTTTACCCATGTAGTTTTCCTTTGGAACACGACTCGCCAATCGGTGTACAACCAGATTCCCAATTACTGCTGGGTGAACAGGGCCTTCTGCAGTCGTGTTTACTCTTATGTGTTCACGGTTAAACAAGACTTCACATAGGAATCATGTGTGTTGACTCCCCCACCTGAGTTGCACTATATTTGACAAGATTTGCTAATGTTCTGTCTTTTTCGTGTGTATTATGATGTCTAAACATGGCCGCATACACACACACACAATGTGTACAAATATTCCAAAATTCATCAGAACATCACGTGACATAAATCGTTAGATAAGAACATTGATATTTTTGTGTTGCATAAATTCTTAAATGACTGAAATTCAGTTAAGTAATGAACAAATAAATACACGCTATTAATAGTGAGAGGAAGTAAATATAATGGTGTTAGCAGTGAAAATAAAACTCTTAGATATAGCATGAACATGTGCCTCATGTCACCGAGTAAACACAAATGGGTCTATATCGGTTACAATCAATACAAGATCAGCCGTGTAGCGGCCAACACACGCGCTCGCAAGCTAGAGGTCCTGGGTTGGCGTCCAGGCCGGGTGGGAAGACAGCTGTGGCCTGGTTGTAAAGTGAGTTGTGGCCAGAAAGTTCTCACAAGTCAAGCCTGGCCTCGGGCCGGGCTTTGGGGAAGTAGAAGGACTCCCGGTACCCCATCAAGCAGATCTCAAGCAGACCTCTCTGTGCCTGACGACCAACCCCAGAAACTGCAACTCTCTCTCGTCTCTTTGGTAACTACTACACAAAAATTGTGCTTATTGGATTTCGGAGCAAGATATGATTCTCTTAATGGTTTTGGCTTCAGTTGAGTTGCAGATATTTTATCAAAAGACTATTGACTCCCATGACGGAACAACTCACTGGCGTGTTAGTCACAGGAGTTTAGCAGCGTTTTTACTAAGACTTGATAAACAAACTTTCTGAAACTTGACCATATTTATACGTTAAATTTTTTATAATAACTAATAAACTCTTGTGCGATCTTCGTGAAGTCTAAAACTAAATTGCAGATGTGTTTCCTGTACAGTTTGAAGCGACCGTCGCCGCTCACCTGCACATTTGTATTATTAACTTGAAAACGATGAGTTAAATTCATTCAGGTTACAGTGATGACGATAGTGAGTAGTGAAGATGGCTGTAGTGGTGAAGACGATATATACAGTGAGGATAACGTGTAGTGAAGATGTAGGATGAAGCAAGAGGAGGAGAACGGGAGAAAGATGAGGGGAGAGAGGGGGGATGAAATGTGAGAAGATGGGGGGGGGAAGGTGAGTAGGGGTAAAAGGGAAAATAAGGGTTTAGAGGAGAGGGAAAGAGGAGGTAGGAGGGGTAAGAGGAGGGGAAAGATGAAAAAAGGAGGCGAAGGGGTTAAGAGGAAGGAGGGAAAATGGGGAGAGAGGGGATGGAAGGGAAAGGGGATGGAGAAAGGTAGGGTAAACGGGAAAGGGAAAGTAAAGAAGGGGTATACGAGGGTTTGGGAAAACGAGTAAAGAAAGATGTGGGGAAAGGGGAGGGAAAGAATTGCGATGGAATGGGGTGGGTGATGGGGAAGGGAGAGTGAATCTCCCGGGCACCGCCAGGAACTCCTCTAGTACATATTTACAGAAGATTGGTTTGCTTGTATTTCCAAGGCTAGAGGTCAAACCCTTGGGGCTAGCTTCACCCTACTTTGCAGGGTGACTGAAGAGGGATGTGGAACTGACATAACCTGGTTGGGGTCAGCCTCATTGCCCCCTTTTAGTTTAGTCGGCCCCCACTACTACCCCCAAGAAGTCTGATTTTTTTCGATCCAGAGAGTTTTTTCCAGCTGTCCATAATATTGCATATTCTGATAGCAGAAAGAAATACCACCCAACGGTGTAAATCAAAAGCATTAATACTGCTAGAAGGAACCTTGTAAATAGTGTTTATATTTATGTTTCATCTTAATAGCGTTAACAGGTTATTATCAAGTGCTTAATGTGTCAGGTTCTTAACTCGTGTGTGGTTATAACCGGCCACACTCCACCTGGCGAGTCTCAGCTCCGTAATAGTCTTATTAAACTGCAATTGTTTTGTGGATTTGTAATTAAAATAATTTTAAACAAAAGCATGCTTTATTGAGTAAAAGTATTGTCTGTGACTAGGATCAAAGGTATCTGGAAGCGTTTTTCATCAGTGTTTACGAGTATGAGGGCTGGGGTTGGTATGAGGGCTGGGGCTGGTATGAGGGCTGGGGCTGGTATGAGTTTTGGTACTGGGGCTTGAAGGTGACAGGTGGACCGTACTCATGTGGGTACTGGGCCTCGCCCTTGTAGCTCACCTGGGCCTGGTACCCGTTGTAGTGGTCAGCCACGTAGTTTACCTGTAAAAATACAAGTAAAAATACAACCACATTAAAATTTATAACCAAATGAGAATGTTTATATATTGCTAATTATATATTCCATGTTATAACGTACTGTATTAGTGTTCGTTTACCGTCTGGATGCGGCCGTCGGGCAAGACAACATTGTAGGAGCCCTTGACCGCGCTGCCGTCGGAGTCCTCGTTGTGGCCGAAGTCAGTGCCGGCGTAGTCGTCCTTGACACCATAGGCGTAGTTGTATGGCATGGGCGCCTGGGGACGAGATAGCTGAAGCTGGTGAACTGATATCACATTTTGAACATTTAATGAATCAGACGTGGTATTACTGTCAAGATAGTAAACTTGTGTGCACTGTTAAGTGGGACACAAGATTCTTCGACAACGTATTTTAATACCTATACAACCTAACCAACATAATCTAACCCAAACCAATTTAACCTAACTAACCAAACCACGTAGCATTAACATCATAATGCTATATTAAATTATTGTTAGTTCAAATCACGAAGCGAGATTTAAACTAATCTAATACATCCTAAACTAACGTTATATTCTATTTTAAAACGAGCCTTTTCGAATCATCTTGTAATCCGTCCCCTTAATAGCACGTCGTATTTTGACGTATACTATACCCTAAGACCAAAAACTGTCGTACTAAAAATAGCAGCGGCTCGCGAAAGTCACATAATGTCCCGTTTTCTGTTCGTCGGTCCTCTGGTAGGTTTGGATAAGGGCATTTTGGTACGACAATTTCTTGAGGTTGGGAACGCTGGCGAGAACGGGCTGGGGTTCACCATACCCCGCTTAGTGGGTTGAGGGGCTTACCGGCTTGTATGACGGTTGGTTGTAGAGGTCTGTGGGGAGGGCCAGAGCCCCAGCCACCGCGGCCAGCACCACGACCACTTGCTGGAGAAAGACAAGGTGCCTACTGCTAATCATTGCGATAATTATATACAGGCGTTGATATTTTGTATGGCAGTAGAATATAATTGTATTTAAATATATATTAAGGGCGGATCAAAACGTCTGCATAATCCTTTTCCACATACGTGGGTTGGGTATTAATTTTGTAACATTAATGTCTACACTTGAGGATCGGTTTATAATACCTTGAACATGTTGGTTGGAGACGGGTCAGTAAGGAGCACCTCGGGGAGTGAGCGATGTGCACTGCTGCCGGAGAGGGAATGATGCCTAGTAGCAAACTACGCCGCCTTATATACTGTATAGACCGCTGATCGCCTCCCACCGTCTCAGTTCTACCATCTCTGGGTTCCCATCTCTTTCTCTTTTAAAAATGCTTTCTGGAAAGGGGACGTTGAGAGGTAGATATGTGGGAGGTTGAAGGGGGGGGGGAGGTGGTTAGAGGGATATAGGTTTGAAGGGTGTTAGTGGGAAGTAGAAGGAGTGGTGTGTAGAGGTAGAGGAGTGGAGGTTTAGGTAGAAGCTGGAGGGATGTGTATGGGAGGGGGGGAGTGTGGGGGAGGTAGAAGCTGGAGGGTTGTGGTAGAAACTATTGGGGTTCATGTGTTGGGGGAGAAGGTAGGTGGTGGAGGGGTGTGTTGGAGTGGGGGTGTGAGAGATGTGGTGGTAGAAGCTGGGCGGGTGTGCGTAAGGGAGGGGAGAGTTGCGTTTAACAGCAGCCAGCCATAATAGTTGTTTACCTGAGCAAGGTGTGTGATATTACTTTTCCCAGTTTGGTCATGATAAAGCCCAAGATATATCACCGTGACGCTGTGTACTCACCTAGTTGTGCTTGTGGGGGTTGTGCTTCGGCTTTTTGGTTCCGCCTCTCAATTGTCAATCAACTGATTAACAATTCAGATTCTGGAGCCTACTGGGCTCTTATTATATCGACATTTTAAACTGTGTATGGAGTCTGCCTCCACCACAACACTACTTAATACATTCCATTTCTTAACTACTCTGACACTGAAAAAATTGATTCTAATGTCTCTGTGGCTCATTTGGGTACTAAGTTACCACCTGTGTCCCCTTGTTCGTGTTCCACCCGTGCTGAAGAGTTTGTCTTCCCGCCCTGTCAATTCCTCTGAGAATTTTCTAGGTGGTGATAAATTCTCCCCTGTGTGTCTTCCAGGGACGTGAGGTTATCTCAGTGTGAGTGTGTACGTGTAGGTACCTGTACCTCCCTAGTTGTGCTTACAGGGTCCAGCATCTGCTCTTAAGCCCCGCCTTTCCACAATCGTTAGTTCAATGCAGTGACAATGTTCCAATGTTTTTCTTATCCTATTCACATTTACACTGTGTATCGAATTGGCTTCGAGAACATCCCCATCTAGTGCGTTCCACTTATTTACAACTGTTAGACTGAAAAGGTTCCTTCTTACATCTCTGTGAATCATCTGCGTATTCAGTTTTTAATTATAATCTCGTTCTTTAGTCCCGTAATTTGAATATTGCGTGTATATCAACTTTTCCAATCCCCATTAGTGTCTCGTACGTCGTTATCATTTCTGCCGTATTTCTTCTTTTCTCCAGTATAGTGTGGCCCAGCTCGCTTCATGCAGGTCGGGGTTCAATCCCCGAGAGTCCAAGTGGTTGGGCACCATTCATTAGTGAACCTTATAAGGTTCTGTCCAACCTGCATAACAACTTCTGCACTGTTAAATCTCACTGGAACTCTCTTTTTACTTTGTAACTCTGCACTGTGTTAGATAATGTGCCAATAGTGTGTTTAGGATTTCTCCACAGTGCTGATATTTCCTCTCCTCTTCTGGAACCTGTAAGCCTATTTCTCAGGCACTTGTGTTAACTCACAGAGCCTCATCTTCTAGCCGCTATATTATTGTTACTCTACTACCATAGCACGGGATCACCATAGCCCGTGCTACTTGGAACTTGTTCTGAGTAGCTGAATCTATAACAACAACAACTAGACTAGTCTAAGAGATAGACTTCTTGGTCTATCTCTAATTATTTACCTAATCTGTTTAGACTCTGTGTTATGTAAATGTCTGCAAGACATGTATTTACAAAGAGCATTTTCCAACAAACTATAGAATTTTATGTCATAACTGCAACTTCAGGTCCTTGTCTCTCCTGGTCTGCTGATCCATTTGTGCAGTATGTGAAGTTGTCAGATACCAAGTTTGCTTCTATATTCATCTCTGCAATGTTGAGTTGCAGATGGGGGGCTATCTTGAGGTTATCTTGAGATGATTTCGAGGCTTTTTTTTTTTTTTAGTGTTCCCGCGGCCCGGTCCTCGACCAGGCCTCTGTAACGGGGGGTGGGGGAAATAGCTCTATCTTGTCCATTATTCCACCCCCCAGTTAACTAACGAGGCCGGGGGAAACAGCTCTCTCTAGTCCGTTATCCCGTCCCCAGTTAGCTAACTATTCTAGAGCACCCTCCAGAGTTCCTAAGGCAACCTCTCTCGTTCAACACCTTGTAACCTAGGTATTTGACTACCTAGGTGCTAAGACTACAAGGCGCCGTAACTTGATCAGTTACCCGAAACTCTAGAGAGAACTCTAGAATACAGAATCACTGCCACAAACGTATAAGTGAAAACGAAAGGAAAGAAATGAATAGTGAAGTAATTAGTGAGGGTTTGGGGTGAGAGGCAGAGAGGTGGGAGGAGCGAGAAGGGTCATTAGTTGAAAGTGAGAGTTTAGAGAAGGGTGGAGGGAGAGGTGTAGATAGGTAGAAGTAGAAGAGTAGATAGTAGAAGTAGAAGAGTAGATAGTAGAAGACGAAATGCTGCCACCATCCATTCTAGACTATTACATACAAGACAAGGAATGGAACTTGCCTGTATCACAAAATATTCTCAAAAGATGTTATCAAGAGATCATTATTAGTATGGTCCCATCTTTATCATGTACTCATTCTAAACCATGAAACCAGTAACTACAGAGGCTTTCTCACCTCAACTCAAAATCTCTAGGGAACAAAGTTAAACACAATTTAAATAATAAATTCATAATTATATTTCACATGAAGTATCATAATTTAGCAATTCAATTAAAATGTTCCAGTTTAATATGCAAAGTGAGTCATCATCCAAGAATTCGAGAACCCTACAACTTGACTGCCCCTGATCATCACACAACATATGTAAACACGACCAAGTCACCTAAATGTTCACTCACCGAGGACTGAGTCTAAGTTGAATAGAGAGGGGGGGGGGGTCTGCAATTTTCAGGCAGCGTCACCCCCCGTCTGGTGACGGCCTATCTCGACGGCTGGCCTCTGCTCTGCTCCGCTGGCCGGTCTCCTATTGCTTCCTGCTCGATAGCTCTCCGAGTTTATATTGGGGAACCTAGTAGCTAACTCCGCCCATAAGTAGATAGCCTCCGGCACTCTACCAAGCCACTCCTTAAACGTCGGCATGTTTGAAGGCTACCCGGCTCCAATTAAGAGCTTAGCGGAAGCAAGGTGAAATTCTCATGATCTGACCTCAGGTCACTTGGGGTCGTTAACGGTTAGAGGTGTGAGATCTCAGGCAGACAACTGGCGCCTCTCCGATCCTTGTCTGTGACTCATGTATTGTACTCTATATATATTTTAAATAAACTAACTCAAACACTTTTACAGTGTTACATCTCCCCTTCTCCCCGAAATAAAGTTTTTGCAACACTGCTAAAGCAAGCTAGCTGTGTGCAACAACTTTATTAACGAAAAAAAAAATACATCCTAGCTAAACAAATATACATCATCCTACTCTAAAAAATGAAATATATAGACAGACGTCCATTGTCTCTGGCTGGGCGACGTCACTGCTTGGTCTTGTAGATAATCCTGTACCACATTTCTTCAACACAACTGCCTCTGTCGCTTCTCCGTCGTTAACGCACAACAACACTTGGTCAACCCGAAAGCCGTTACTACTTGAACTGCGCACAGGACCGTGGAATTCGGTTGTCCCAGCTGATCTGTAATTGGCCCTACGTCAGTCACCATGAGAGACGTATATTGGGGTTCTTCACAGCTATAGGGACTACAAGTTTCGAGACCTTCATATAGTTGCCAACAGTAGAAATCCCATCCTACTCTTCTTCCTCCCTGTTGCTCCAGCACGCCTCCTTCAGAGAGCTACTTCTGACAGCCACATCAAGTCTGCATGACACAGGAAGAATCACTCAACAGAGCTACCTGCTTGCAGGAGGGGCGGCCAGTCAAGGCAAACGATCCTGTCTTGCAATTACGCTCCATGCAATGATGCTGACACCAGCAAGGGACACTAGGTATCATGTCTCACTCAGCTTGTCTTATCTTCTCTTCTCTTCTCTTCTTTCTTCTCTCTCTTTCTTCTCTCTTCCTCCTCCCATGGGTCTTAGACAAGCGACCTGGGGTCCATTGGGGGTCTGTCCGTCCTGGGGTCCATCCTGGGTAGACCGATGTTGGTGGGACAGACTGGAGTCGTTGTTGCTCCTCTTCCATCATTACTGGGTCGTCTGGGGTCGTCTGCAGAACGACCTGGGGTCCACTGGGTAGACCAATGTTGACTGACCGAGAGGGCTGCATCTTGGGGTCCCCTGGGGTGGTGATGGTGGTGGAGCCGTGACCTCCAGGTAGTGGGCTGGTCGTGGTGGTGGTGATTAACGCCCGTGAGTGTGGTACACAGCAGCCGTCTCCCTCTTTTGTATGTGCGTCTCTCCTCTCTTCTGGCTCCCACCTGTGGGTGAACAGAAAGGCGACAATATCGTGCTCCCAAGATATGTTATGTGACCCTGTAGTTTGTATAGGGTTACACAGTCCAGTCATACCGCTCTCCTCCTGGCAACAACTACACTTAAATTTTTAAAATAATCCAATTAACACTGAATGATATTGACTTGGTGGAACATAAGACAGTAACAGAGGAAAGTTAGAGAAGAGAGAATAAGGTCATCACTACCTTTAACTTGTCACAAAAAAAATCAACACTAATAGACAAAACACTAGCCTAAACTTAACTGTACCGTTCCTAATCTTA